TGCAGTTCTGAAAGACAAAGTTGAACAGCTGATGTGCTGTTTTTTACACAGCTGGGATCCATCCCCTCAAATAGATAATTCTGTATTCTGTATAAAGGAGATGTGATTATCAGATAAGTGATGCAAATCACAATGAGACAGCCACCCATTAACTAAGGCTTTAAAAAAACAGCCACAGCCAAAAGCACATTGTGTATCAATGAGCTCTGAAAGTACATTTTGTATTATAAATGTAGAACCATATGGATGAAAAACAACTTTTAGGCTATGTGAGAAAAGTTAGGATTATGTTGAATGTAACTATCTCTTGTTTAAAGATGAAAAAGATTGACAGTCCTACTTCGAATGTACCTCCCCCCCTTTCCCCCTGACAGATTCAGACACTTATGTGATCTATTTGGCAGAATGAGGAGTCTATTTGTAGAATGAATGACATTGCAGCCACAAGGGAGAATATTTTTAAATTCAGATCTTAACCTTCTGTGGAAACTCCATTTAGAACAGCAGGAAATTTGCTGTCATCATGCACCTCATAAAGAAAAGGCAGTTTTATCTGGACTCCTTCACACCTTATCAACAGGTGTCAAAAACAAATGCAATCTGAGGTGTTTGTAGATGCTGTACAGCAGTCAGTAACTGGCAGCAAAAGTGAGTACTAGGAAGGTAGCTGTGTTTATTCACTGTTTATACATATCTGTCTAAGTTTGAGCCTAATTATTATGGTCAGAATAAAGGAAACTTGTGGATATATTTAAACCTTTGAAAGCATATTTAAAAACTAAGGAATGTTTGTAACATATTGTAAGAACTTTTAATAAAACCTAAAACAGATATATTTATATTGAAATATATTTTAGGACCACATTAAAATTTGTATTTGTGGAAAAAACACCAAAGATTACTGTAAAGATTTATAAACATATCTTGAAAATATCTTTCATTACACTTTCAGATGCATTTGAATAAATCTCTCAATATTTACAATTGTGCAACAAACAAATACTATATATGAGGTGTACTGTATTACAATTGATGGTTCTTCATATTTCTTCTCTGTATGGATCTTTACCTTGGCTGTAGGGAGAAGAAGCAGTGCTGTGGGTAACTGGTTGTAACTGGTTGTGGGCCAGCTGGGAGAGGACAGAGGATGGGAGTACTCAAATTAGAAAAAAGATAAACAGATAATCTGCAGCCTCTTCTGCACATTTTCTTTAACCTCTTCAGCCTCCTAAACAAGGTCTTCGGTGCATACTGTAGGCAGAGCAGCCTGTGGACTGTGGCAGCCATCTCATAGCAACAGACAGTCACAAGACCCTCCTGCATCACTACAAAGTATTTTAGCATTAACCTGAAGGCAACACAGGTGGTTTGTCCTGCAACTCGTTATCAACAGAAGGCTGAGCTCGGTGTCCCTGTCGTCTGTAGCCAGGGGCTCCCTAGGAGATGGGAGTGCAGACAGTGGCAGACAGAGGACCCGAGGAGGTTAACAAAACAAAGAGCCATGCAATGCGAGGCAGAGCCTGATTTGCATGATGCTCAGGTACAACCTTCACGGAGCCCCGGGTTCCCCAGCCACCGGATCACAGCCCAGTGTCTGCCCTGAGGGAAGAGCTGCTTTTGACAGGGACTGCGTGCTTTATTTAGGAGAGCAGATCAGACTATTATACCCCAAAGCCACTTAAGAAAGGTGGCTACTGAGGGGGTAACATCCTGATCTTACTCTGCTTTCGTGTCACCTGCTTTACCCACTTAAAATCGGAAATGCAGTCAATCTTTAGGATGAAAGTTACCATGTACAGTAAATAAAGGCAATTATTATTATCTTGTCATTCTTTAATAGCAGATTGGATTTTTATCCAGCACCTTTTCACCTCTGAAACATAAAGGTGTTGATTTCCCAATCTTACATTAAAAAAAGCCACACTCAGACAGGTTTTGCTTTAATTCACTTTACATTTACTGAAGATTCGCTGGCAGCTGCCTTTGACGGCGTTCTCCTTTCAAGAACTGTAAGTAAATCAGTAAATCAAATCAGGCTTCAGAGAAAAGTCCTAAATGATCCATAACTGTGCTCCCACCCTTTGAAGATCCTTGAAAATGTCATTACTGGGGAATTGCAGAACCATGGAGGTCACCAGAGCCTCTAACAGCCTCCAGGGACAGCTGAGCTCCACCTTTTGAAAATTCATCCCTCCGTCAGTCACAAATACTTTTGTCTGGGTGACAAATAGATGTAAACATAGCTGCTGTTTGCTAACCTTACTAATCCTCAATCAGTCCCTGGTGCCTGATCTCTATTATCAAACCAGTGAACTACAGCTTCATCCGACACAGTGATGGCGGTCTGGCACTCCCCTGACTGGTGCAGTGGCCATAAAAGCCCATCAGATAAAGCAGTGACACGGCTCGCTCTGGAACCACAGAGCCTGCAGCCTGCTCCTCTCCTACAGTCACCACCACTCCTTGCACTTCCACCATCTCCTCAGGGCTCGGTGCTGCTCCTTATGCTGCTAAAAGGACAAAGAGAAGCCAACTGCTCTGTCACAGAAGACTTTCAGCCCCTCTTGACATCACAGTGATGTTGGAAAATGCCTTCGCATTTTTTCCCCTTTAAGCATTTCAATGCTTAAAACATTAAAGGCTTTTTTTGGTGAAATTGCTCACTGTTCTATGTCTTATGCCTTTTTTTGTCTTCTCTGATTGCACTATAATTTTTTAATCGGACAGTAAAAGCTCAGCCAGCACATTTTACAGGAAAGCAATGAGATTGTTACCAGAATTAAATGATTACAACATTTATTCACTTTAGTTGTAAATAAATATATTTAAATTAATTATAACCCATTGGCTATGTAGTTAAATTTTGCATTTGATAAGGAAGCAAGGTAAAGGTTATTTGTTTTACTTATGTCATAAGATGTTTATTCAACTTTATGGTAGAAAGGAGGGCATTAATCATCAGAAGCATAAGATGTTTCAGCATTTATGTTTTAAGGTCTTCTCCATTGTAAAAGGTCTGACAACAACACAATGGTCTTCTTTAATCTCAGTGACATTAATATCAATAACATTAAGCTTAGATGCTCTGTAGGTGCAGGTATTAATATGTGTATACAGTATGTGTGTTATAAGTTGATTTATGCCTGACTAAAGCTAGTAAAATTCACCTGCTGCCTTTACAGATTAAATTTATATCCAAGATTACACTCTTTCAACTAGACATGACAGATATCACCTCCTCTACTGTGCTAACAAATGTGTGTGTGTTCCATGTAGCAGAATCCCACGATCACAAATATGTCAGACTGGCACACTCTAATCTTATCATATAGTATGATTTACAGGTAACATAATCATGATAAAAAAGGTTTTAGGATTCTCCTTGTGGTGTGTGTGTGTGTGTGGGGGGGGATTAAATAATATATGGCTTGCCTGAAATACAGGAATCACCACACACTAAAACGCTAATAGGAAGAAAACATATGACAGGACCATTGGTTCAACAGAACAGGAGAAATGAACAGTAAGCAGACATGACTGAATTTCCAAAAGTTGCAGAAAGGTTAAAAGCTTACCTCAGTGCCTATTCAGAGACAATCTACTGCCATTTAAGGCACTTTCATAAAGTGCTTTGAATGCATTGTTATAATAATTGATGCCAAGGCAGCAGATGGGCAAAAAGGCTGTTATTCATTGCAAGCAGTCGGAGAAGTAAAAAGTGACTTTTCTCTGCTTTTTTTATAGTGTGCGGACACTATACCATACTGTATGTACACGAACACCACAGTCTCCTTTTCCACTCTCCGTTAGACCCTTTCTCCTCCTTGTCTTTCAGTCAAATGTAATAATAGTAATAATAGTAGCAATAATAACAGACTAAGAGATAAAACATTAAAACACATATTGATCTGTGTTCCACCAGTACAGTTCCACCAAGCTCAAGGGAACAGCAGCAGTGGCTGGACGGGACCAGCTTCTGATATTGCTCTTATTTCACACAGTGGAACTACTGCATGTAATATAGCAGACCCCTTGTGCACACACGTGCTTTAATGTGATCCAAAGAAGCAGAAGTCTTGGACCACAGCACAAACACAGTAAAGCACACAATAAACAAAAATTAAATTAAACATGGTAAACTATGTGTCAGCAAGCTTGTGAAATGCTATACCACAATGTTTATTTACATATCACAATCCTGTGGATCTTTTATAAGGCTCCATGGACTAGTGGTCCTTTCAAAGTCTTCTCAGACATCTCTTGTGTGTGTGTCCTGTACTGTTCATCCAGTGCAATGTGCATTGTGGCAAATTAACATTGGAAAAGCTTCAGGAAATTCTATTTGTATGCAAAGGAACTGTATATAGTTTCATCTCTATCACAGTTAACGTCAATGACTTCATCCCAGTGCATTTGACCATGTTCATCAAAATTCAGGTCATTAGGACTGCTTCTTTATTGACCACGTTCAGCAATGGCCCAATCACCACTTTAACCTCAGTCAATACCAGTTACCGGGCAATCATGAATCTGCACCAGCTGATACAAAACTGCCTTTCTACGGCTGCAATGCTGTGTGCACCTGAAGTATCAACATATACTTTCTAGCGTGCCGTTAAAACTAGTGCTTTAGCAAGGCAAACATCGATAGTGCTGACGGCAAAGTACTCCAAATTGCAAAGGCCAGATTTGAGTAACTGTTGACTATGACGAGACCAACAGCAAAAATGTGGAACTTGAACAATATCTTATTCTCTTCTGAATACTTACTCTATATTCGCTCACTGGTCCTGTACACGCAGGACCAAAGAAAGCAGACATGATGCCCACCATTACCACAGCTTCCTTTTACAGTCCCATACAAAGCTACTATATTGGAATGCGTACCTTGCAAGTTATTAACTTTGGCATCAGATTTGGCTTCCTTCCTAACGAGGCGACAACCTCTTCTCCTTCTGCGCGAACCCGCGACCGTGCTCGGATTGGGTCGGTCCACTCACCTATATAAAGCGAGGAGTCTTTCCTCCGCACGTGGTCGTCGATGTAGGACACCCCTAGCGGCTGCACCGGCGTGGCTCCGATCCCCAGGAGGACCTGCGCCCCGATCAGCAGCAGATACATCATGTTGGTGTTAGTCCTGTTCCCGCAGATAAAGCCCGAGTCCGGCCTCCCCTCGGCCGAGGAGTTGGAGCACACGTCCCTGCCCTCCTCCCCGCGCCAGAACTCCCCCGCTTCGTACTCGTACTGGTGGGTGAGGAACTCGGGCAGCGCCGACAGCAGCGCCCCCAGCGCCATGACAATGCCCCCGCAGCCGATCAGCCGCGGCCGGTGCCCCTTCGCCCCGAAGTAGCTGACGAAGAGGATGAGCGCCAGGTTGCCGATCTCGAAGCTGCTGGCGATCACGCCCACGTCGGTGCTCTGCAGGTTGAACCGGCGCTCCAGCGTGGTCAGAACGCTCACCTGCAACACAGCGGGACGTCAGGGAGCGGCAGCCTCCTCCAGACCCATCACACGCCCAACCATCCCGGCCTCTTCTTTGGAAGCAAGTTACTATATTATTAAACATGACTTCACAAGCATTGGGTAAAGCCAATAATAATAATAATAATAAACTATATTTTATATAGCACCTCTAAAGGTGGCTTCTCAAAGAGGTTTACAGAATGACAACAACAATACATAAAAAGAATACACAAGATAAAACACATTACAATATACAGAGGAGACCGTGGATGGTGGTACTAGGAAAAGCAGAGGGGTGAAGCAGAAACGGAACCGATTAATCCCGAAACTACTGGAAAAAATGTATGACACCACCTGTTTCTAAGATTTCCAAGGTTTTTCTGTGTTGTGCTCTTATATTGTTTTATTCCAGTCTCCCCTCTCCAAAATAAAACAGAAGCATTTCATTAGAGAAACAAATTGTGAGAGAAAAGTCAAGCTTTTAGTCAACCTAAACTGGAGAACCCAAAATTAGGACAATGAGTATAGAAATTCTTAATGCACATGGGGACAGTAGAGGGTGGGTTTATATAAAAGGAGGTTATATAGGTGATGTAACTGGGGCACGATGAAAGTGAATGTGAGTTTTGTTAACCAAACTTCCAATTCAATGCACTGACATGCTTTGCTATGCCAGACTGAGGTGTCCTTCTGGTCCACAAGACCTTCAGCCATACAGACAAAAGATGGAGATGGTTCAACAACGCACGGATAAAAGCCATGTTTCGACTTAAACAAGGACTTAAAAAGGGCTTTACATGCTTGGACTTGGAAGTGATTCCAATAGCACAATCCTCTGAAGCATGACAGAAAGAAAAAATACATTTGGCTGCAGTCATCGCTGGCAGGCTGCTGGAAATCAACATATTCAAATCAGATGGATGGGAAAGAGATCTAATAAGAATCATGATGCAAACCAGGCCTGTGCCTAACCTCTTGGGAGGGTGGTACTGTACATCAGAATGAGGTTTAAATGGAGCCATGTGGCATCTCCAAATTTGTATGCCGGCACAACAAGATATAGGTCAATACTTCTATTTCATTGTGCAGTTGGAAGTACAGCCTAAGAATTCTGTTGCTTAGGCAGATCAGAGGAAACACTAAATAACACATGCAAGTTGATCAGAACAGCATACAGTATGTGCATGAGGTTTAGTAACACTGTTCAGAACAGATCTGTGCAGCAGATCAATGCAGAGCAATGACTCTCAAAGTCCTCTAGAGCTTCAGTCCAGCATATTTCAAGGAAAAAGTTTAAGCAACAAAATCAGAAATGTATTCAAATTATACAATTTAGAACTCAAAAGCTACCAAAAACATACTCATAAATGGCTCATCGTTATCACAAACCCATACACATCTTGGGGTTTTGAAATAGATTTCTTGTAGTATTCTGCTATGTTTCAATTCTAAATAGAAATAAGCCACATTGAAAAATGCCGAAGCATCTCATGCCTTTTTTGGAAGACGGCAAGGAAAATATGGGTTGTTAAAAGTTAGACTCTTGATAGTGCTTCTTTCCCGTTAGTCTAGTATCTTGTAATGGCTTTCAGATGCTTGTCGTTACAGTGACTCCGCCAGGACTTTGTTCCTGTGGAGAACCTGAGTGGCCAGAGGAAGAAGAAACTTATTTCTTGACTTTATTTAAAGCTGTTTCTCTGATGCTGAGAAGGACAGGAGCACGGCAGAGCTGAAAAGCACACTGTTCTGTGCAGCATCTCCTCTTGGACTGGAAAATGTTTAATGGGATTAATAAACTGTGTTATTCTGACAGACAGCAGGCCTATGTTAGGAAATACAGATGTCGGAAAAACTGCAAAATTGCAGATCGTTTTCTGTTCCTGTTTATGATTGCTTATTTAACACTGTGAACTCACACATGCACAATGTCTTCAGACCTTCCCAGTATCAATGAAAGTGAAGAATGCTTTCCTAGCCTGATAAATGCAATAAAACCATTATTTTTGCAGAAACACCTGCTATCAACAAAAAGTTGCCTTGTAATCAACTTTCATGAACCACTTAATTTTTGAATGAAAGTATTGCAAAACAATACATACAGTATGTGTAGAATCTTAAAACGATACTCTGATCTACAATAATGTAGTCTACAGCATGAAGGGTTAAAAATAATAGAATGGTAAAATATCCTGTCTTTCAACCCAAAGAAAAATACAAGAAGCCTTAAAGAGTCCTTCCAAGCAAAATTCTACTTGAATCTATGGCCTAAGGTACTATTGCATGTGCTGTTTGACAAAAGTATACATTAAAGAACAGATGAGCTTGTAACACACACTTGAAAGTCAGTGCATATTAACATAAATATCAATTTTTGAGAACAGGTTTTATCAAAGTTTACTGCCCCGGATTTAGTCCACTGTGTAACAGAACATAAATGGAAGTTGTCCAATTTCAGTAAAAAAAGTGTTCTTTAACTTGTTCTCTTGAGATACATAATGTATTTTTAATATGCTTAGATGTCTTTAAAGCACTAAACACATCTACTGTGAGGTTTTCATCAGTGCTGCAGGAGCAGAATAAATATAGTACAATCTTCTTACGATTAATATGGAAGATTGCCTGGGGTCCAGGGCATATGCACACCTTGTTTTGTTGTCAGCCACTGTGCTTTAAAACACCCCCATATTTGCAGTATCAAAGACAATGACAAATTGCCCCATGTCACAGTGCTGACGGAGCTCCACCCGGGATGTCACACAAGACACCCCCTTCCCCCAGAATCCAGAAACAAGAACACACCAACAACTGAAAAGGGAACAAACACCTTAAAACGTGACGCAAAAAAAAATAATCTTCTTTTCTTTTGATGACTACACTTTTCAGTGTTAGTTTAAATGCAGCTCATCCAAATAACCTTTAACTACACGTGCAAACCTTTTGCACTGAAAAGTGTACATTGTGTAATCTGGGCGGGTTCACTCCTGATGTTGTGATGTGTACAGTTCAGTGTCGAGCAGGCCTTTCTAGGTGCCAGGCGCGTCCAGCATGTTGTTAGAAAGACCTTGATGAACCTGGCCCAGCATACTCATTTTGCTGCATTGGCGCATGTTTTCGTACTGCAGGAATTTTGGTCCATGTCCAGCTTCCAACAATGTGAGAGTCCAGCTCCCTTTGTCTTAGCCGGTGACATGGAGCTAGCAGAACTGCAACAGCGCATTAGCTTTGCTTCTTACCAGCTGTGCTGCATTGGTAGTTCAGCTCATTCTGATTGCACACAGGCCGTCAAGTTTAGGGTGGCAATGGAGCCCCAAATTCCCTTGACTATTTCCTTATTTGTTTGGCACAGGGGTACATTTTCTTTCTTCAGACTTAAAAATAAAAATAGATCATTAGCGTTAAGACACCCCAACGTTCAAGGCTGTGTCTTTACAAAATCGACATGTTACTTATAGTGTACCTTGTCTGTCCAGTCTGTTCTTTCGGTCAGAAGAGGCAGCTTTAGTGCAAAGCAGGGGAGGGGCTGCAGTTGTGGGCTTCCAGACAGACTTGCTGTTCAAAAGCTTTCACATGGATTTTATGGGACTTTCATGTTCTAAACCAAAACAGTTCAGAAGGATTTAGCTTGTGCTAAAAATATGCGGGCTTGTAATGTCTGGGAACCAACTGAAGAGCTACATCCCAACCATCTACGTCCTTATACCATTCTTTAGCCTCTATTTTTAAATGATCTTTTTCCAGAAAAAAAACCTTGTTCGGTTTCCAGATCATTTCCCAACACTAGCATCACCTCTGCACCATCATTTTTCTTTTGACTTTCCATAAGAAACATTGAAATACATGGTTTTAAGAAGGAACAGGCAGCGTGGCCACGGTTCAGACAGCTTTTCTAAATATCATTTAGACAGGGGGGGTGAAACAGTTTAAAAAGCCAGCACTGCAATTCAGTCTGCAATGTCAGTCTCGGAAAAAGACAGAGAACAGACTCAGGATACAATCTGCTCTAAAGTTCCAGGAATCATCCCATTATATTTCTTTTTCTTTCCATTTCCATTTATAGTTGCAGACTAATGTACCCTAACATCCACAATCACTCTGTTTTAATAAACTTTCAACCATTAGCTATGTAAGCATTGCTATGAGAAGCAGTGTGAAGCATATCCCATTCCAAGCTTGGAAACTAAGACAATCTACATTAATATCTTCTCATATATCAATGCAAAATATACAAATATTGGAAACTGAACACCTAAGAACCAGACACCACAGCAAAACCCAGTAGTATAAACTCAGATTCTGTAACGTTCTATAAAATATGTGCTTCTGTCTTATTTAATAGGTTATGACACAATATACTACTGTTCAACTTCCTTTTTGCAAACAAAACCAAACAGAATGACAGTAGTATGCTCTTTTTGCACTGCTATAGTCCATTCTCACAGCATCATGGGAGTACAGCACTTCATGTCCTTGTCAGCGCCAAGGGTAGTGCTTCAGTAGTCTCATGACATCATTGTCTACAGGCTCATGAGTGTAGAAAAAAATAATAACTCACAGTGACTGACCTTAGTTTAGATTTCTTAAAACTAAACTACCTGCATACCCTGTTCAGACATGTCTGAAATGTTTTTAATTTATACAAAAGGTAATTTGTGGGATACAACTTAAATCAGCAAGTAAGCCATTATTATTATTATTATTATTAGCCATCAGAAATGGACCTTCACTGAATCGGTGAATTCTAATCTTTATTCCAATATTTAGTTGTGTCAATGTTTGATTTTTTTTTCAAATGTTACTGCAGATTACTAATGCAGCATTCGAACAATTCTCTTCGCTAAATTATTAAACCACTTGAAATGGGTTTGGGTAATGTTCTGTAGAGACCGGCAAAGATAACAAATTGAACAAAGGTCTTCTCCTTGAATTTTTTTCGGTTTTATTATATACCTACCCAGTTTGGAATTGTCAATCATTTTAAAGACTGTCAGAGCTGCTCA